TGAAATTACGTAAAAATAGGAGGGGCTCGGGGAGGAGCCCCTAAGACCCTGGGAGTGTATATAAGCAGACCATTTTCTTTGTTTGTCAGATGTTGACCGGTGAACATTTCATGTGTGGTGGACTTTTATTGTTGCAATAAACCATACTGGACAGAGAATCAGCTGCCTCTGCTTCTTTTTGACTACTGTTGGAGATTTTCGACTGCTTTTCCAAGAGCTTAGAATTTTTGAAAAACTTAGCATAAATCACTACGTCGTTTGGAGGACATCCACGACAGTATCAAGTGATACACATTTTCAATAATATTTAATAATATTCTATAGCAGGGGTCACCAATTCTTTTTAACGGATGAGCGCTACTTCAAGGCTACAGAGTCATAGGAAGGGCTACCAATACTGACCTATGAACTGCAAGGGTCAGCGTTCCCCTAAACTTCGGATTTTATAAACATATTATTTTTTATTTTTATTTCTCATTTATTTATTTATTTTTTGGTACATAAGATTAAAAAGGTGTGCCAACCATAACCAGTTTGTTAGCAAATGAGTGGAAAATGTTCTAATTTTAAACTAATGTTATTTTGTATAAAACAGAATTGCAATGGGGTTAAATATGTTGCAGAATTAGGAACTGCAAAGACATCTTCAGTTTTTTATTTAAACTGTTTGTCTTTCAGGCTTATATTAATATATATATATAAATATATATATATATAATAGAAAAGGAACATCCTCATAATTATTACATCATTTAGCAGCAAAATTATTATTCTTGCTCATTATTATGTTTTTAATCCAAGCTTTTTAGTTCTTATTGTAATAGAATAGGATATTGTGGCAGTTATTTTAAAGGCTATAATGCTGCAGAGGTCTATTTGATTGATTGGTTTACTTTATTGATCTTACATTGGTTATTGCACAGGAGATATATATATATATATATATATATTTTTTTTTTTTAGCTATTGCAATGGGTGTCAAATATAAAGCAAAAGGTTATTGCACAGAAAAACTAAGCAACCTATGCAGTGTATAGGTTGCTTGGTGCAATATATACAGCAAGAAAAAAATAACATACTCACCAACGAAGGGTTCACTAAAGCCTTTGCGATGCGGATCCATAAAAGAAATTATGGGAATAAGGCCTTTTAATGGGAAAAAAAAGAATTAATTTCTCAGGAATTAAAAATTTTATCTTAAAAATATTCGGTAAAAATGATCTCCATCTGCATCCCTCTCTTTTTTTTTTTATTTGAAACCACAGATAATCAGAAG